TAATACATATATATTTATATATATATATACATATATATATACTACTATATATATACATATATATATATATATATATATATATATATATATATATATATGCCTATACACAGAAATAATATCTACCTTATAGATACATTTATCTATCAATCTATCCAGTAGACTGAAGATATGCATTAATTTGTGTATATGTATGGCCGTATCTATGAATATTTTAACTAACCTGCTGGAATTTGTCATGATCTATTTTCTTCAATACTGACATTATTTCATGCATAAGCAAGTATAGTTTTATTTCCTATCTTTATAAAAGTGTAAATGTCTTTAGATTTTCCCTACCTGAGGCTACTATTTAAATATATACCACAGTATAAGTGTGTTGAACAACTTTCTTATTATCAACATACCAAGGAAATGCCACAAATATAAAGAATCTTAAATTTTGTCCTTTTCATTAAAGGCAAAGTTTAATTTGCATCATATGGCAGCATGAAACTGAAAAAATGTATTTCTATTGGAAAAGGGTAAATTTATATGTTTTGAGACATCAAACCATAAAAAAAATCGCTCTTCTGATGTGAAGAATAATGGCTCAGTTAACTACTAAGATGGGGAGAGGGGGGTCAAATTGAGTTAGCTAGCGTATAGTATAGGTACATGGATGAGGAAACTACCAAACGAGTATTAAAGCCCAGCTGTGGCTAGTTCTCTTGCAGTCGACGCGAGACCCGCTACACACCTAGGGAGGTATGTAGTTAATGAGCGCCCAGGTACACATATGTGGACTTTTGCTTGTTGCAATCTTGCATACGACATTTGATTATGACATTGCACACAGATATGAGTTCGTGAATATTCAAAGAACACTTTTATACCAATATCAGAAAAAAATTAGATCACAGTGATTTATGACAAAATATTTTGTGAAATACATCTAAAAAGTTTTGTAACCGCTTAGCGGTCGGTATATTACAGCATCGGTAAATTTGATTTGATTTGAAATTGGTCATTACCGCTGTAAAGGGCAATTCAAGACAAAGGGTACCTAAAAGTCAGATTTTTTAACTTTGGATGTATAAGCGAGATACTAGTTATTTCATACTGAAGATGATAATACACAGTAATAATCACTCTGAAATAAAAACTATTTGAGAATTTGAGCTCGTTTGTATGCGCAGTCTTCGTCTAGAGTTGAAAAAGCTATCTCATGTTTTGTGTTCCCAAAAAAAAAAAAAAAAAAAAATTACGTTTAGATGTTACTGTAGGTCTTAGGTACCATAAATTCGCAAATATCCAACCGCACCTAGGCATCTGCATGATTTTATGCACTACTTAGTAAAGATAATGCAAATGGCTAATCAACAACTCTACACTCGTTTCCCATTGCAATGTTACTATTGACAATTATTGAAGAAAACAGTTTGTAGGGATTATTATATTTCATTCTTTTAGATATAAAAGTTGATGTAGTCCTACTGAATGAGGATGATTAATATTTTTTTAACTTTGTGTGTGTGTATTTACCTACATATGATCCTCCTTGAAAATTATAAACACCCAGTGACCATCTCCCCCCCCCCATCCCCCCATTGTATGGAGCATGGGAAAAATTCAACAACTCCAGTAAGTTCTCAACTTCCATGTTCTAAATTCATATGCTTTTAAATTCTCAAAATTGAACCACCATGTTGTATTCATGCTAGGACTTTATAACTAGAATGCAGTCTGTTGCTTTCGCTAGAGCCTCAGAGCCCTGAGGCCATGTAATAGCCAGATTTTTAAATTTTGGCCTTAATAAAAAAATATAAATTTCTTAATGCTCAAAACAGATCAAAAATACTAAAAAAATGTCAACCAGTCCCCCACCAAAAAGAAAAGAAATTTAAAAATCAGGCTATTACATGGCCTTTGGCTTGGATAGATCTAAAACATTAATTTTTTTTTAGATTGTCCAGGAAATGGCTGTGGGAGTGATGATGTAACAAAGAGGTAAAAAAAAAAAAAGTAGATTTTTTCAACTTTTGGGCTATGGGGGTGCGAGGTCAAAATTATACATGAGACGAAGCGCAATTCTATGCTCTATATTATGCAAAAAAATTAATGAGTTATCTCCAACAGAACTTTTTCATGATGAAATGAGTAGGGAAAAATGGTCATTCCCCGGGACAGTCCTCTTAATTAACCCAATCTTAAATTTTGTCCTTTTCATTACAGGCAAAGTTTACCTTGTACCATATGGGAGCAAAAAACTAAAAAAATGTTTTTCCAATTAGAAAAGGGTAAATTTATCTGTTTTGAGACATCAAACCATCAAAAAATCTGCTCTTCTGATATGTGAAGTTTTTAATTCAAGTGAAGAATAATGGTTCAATCAGCTATTAACTAACCTAATGACTGCAGATCAAATGATATTACACAATGGCTGTGGTGGATGAAATTGCAGATGGGACAGCCTTCCATTTTTTCTTACCTTTGTTTATGAAATAGAACTACAAGCTATAAG